TCAAACGTCCCGATACCATCCACACCATCTGGATGCTTGGCGGTCCACCACTGTACGTTTCACAAGGAGTTTTTTTCCACGTACAACCTCTCTGTGGAATAGTTTACCACCGGCGATTTTTCCGGACCGATACGACCTGGGGACCTTCAAGAAAAGAGCTTACTCCTTTCTAAAGGGCCGGCAACGCACCCGCAATTCTCCTGGTGTTGCGGTTGATCATGGGCGGCGGTAGTCACTTAACATCAGGTGAGCCACATGCTCGTTTGCCCCTTCTTCTATAAAAAAAAAAAAACAAGAGAAGTTGGTTAGGACGACATACCCATTAGTATAATAAAAAAAATTAGACAAATTCTGGTACCACCATTAACCCATATTTTCCGAATTTGCCTCTCTGAAGAGATTTTCCCCGATTGTGTGTTGTGTGTGTGAGGGACAAAAAAACGTTTTCAATTATCGGCAATCTGCTCAATCGCAGAGTCTAAATGTAACTGCCCAGTTATTTTCAATACAAAAACTATTAAGTACCTTAGAATAATTATAGATTATTATTAGGTTTTTAAATGTGAACATAGAGTTCACATTTAAAAACCACATAAACCACCTAAACAATAGAGTCCGTAAACTAATGTTTGTTTTTAAAAATATTCGTTCTTTTGCTGATATTAAGGTAGTAAAGCAAGTATATTTCGCGTTATGTCAGTCAATTCTCATCTATTTTATAACCTCATGGGGAGGAGCAGCTAAAACTACACTGCAGCCACTGAAAAACGCTCGGGGAGCTGTATTAAAAGTCGCTACATTCCGTCTATTCTATTCCCAACCCATCTTTTATATAAATCTTATAATGTCCTCTCATTGCCGCCAGTTATTCGTTATGAGTACGTTACTAAAATAGCACTTAAATTTGCCCCTTTCCCCTTTTCGTCTCCTTGAAGAGAGGTCACGCAAACAGAAACAGAAACAGATATTTTTTTATTCAATGAAGATTATAAACAATACTTATTCATTTCATTATATTTATATATTTCATTATATTATCATAGTCATTTTTTTCATTTACCACATATTTACACAGCAAAGATAAAGTAATTAAAACTAACATTAGAATAAGGCATACTTTCATACATAGATTTTTACATTCTTTGGCCCTTTTCTGTATAATTAAGTCGATGCAATTTTTTACAGACTGTAAAAATGTAATTCGAACGTGGTTACAAAATTTGTCATACGATGATACGGAGAAGTTACGGATTGTTTTAAGTTATATTTAAGTTATATAACCCTAATTAGTTAGTATATTATTCATTTTATATATGAAACAAAAAATATTTGTTATTGTATCTTTTAGCACGTACACCTAAGTTACAGGTTTATGCTAGTTCAGTTCAGCTAGTTATTGTAGACTATTAAGCTAATTCAAGGCATTATTCGAATTATTTGTACAGTATATTGCAATAAAAATTAATATTAAAAAATATTTTGTATGGACCCTTATATTTTGAAGATAATTTTGTATATTTTAGCTTGTGCCATTCATACAAAACATAATCGTTCTTCTTAAAATTATGCTGAATTTTCTTAAATCAAATCTACTTTTACTAGATAAATGTTTATCTTCAATATTTGATTAGACCACTTCTCTTGCTTCGGATAAAATTTGAAGTTTATGGTTTCTATTTATATCTTAAAAGATTGTTCCAAAATGTATCTCATTTGGCGGTATTCTGGGCTCATATCCAAATAACAAATAAAAAGGTGATAAACCAGTTGTTTTTTTGTTTTGATGGCTACTATAGTTTTGGCAAAATTTAATCAGTGTAGTAAAACAGCGTTGGCTCTTTCACACAATTTATTGAAGTGTATAGGCTGTAGTTGGCAAATGCTCTATACCATATTTTTGAAATAAATTTTGCGTTATAATACATAGTGCACTGTTAGAAATATTATGTTAAATATGGCAGATGAGATTATCGAAATAGAGTTTCTGGTATTGGTCGGTGTCCCATTTCACCATAGGCTGATTTAGTACGTCGATTAGTCTTAGCACAAGTAATACATGCGTATGTGTATGCTTTTACATCTTGTCTCATAGTTTTCCACGAGTATTTGGTTTTTATCTTATTTAATGTAGTAATGTATTGTAGATGTCCCTTATTATCATGTGCCATTTTGATAACTGTTGTTCTTCAACTATAAGTTACAACAAGTTTATCCTTTTCATATATTAATTCTCTATTAACCATAAAAAATAAAATAATAATAAATGCTGTAGAAATGCGGTCTTTAAGGAATGTGCTAGGGTTGAATCTGAATGACAGGGTGAGAAATTGCGTGATAAGAGATAAATGTGGTATGCAAGATAATGTTGTGACCAGGATTAAGAAAGGAATGCTTCGGTGGTTTGGTCACGTAGAAAGAATGAATGAGGAAAGAGTGACAAAGCAAATTTATATGGCAGATGTGAACGGCCGAGTCGGGAAGGGACGCCCTAGAAAAAAGTTTATCGACCAAATTGGCGATATTTTGAAAATGGGCCACGTTAAAAGTACCCTTAACCGACGAGCATGTATGCGTAGATATATGGATGTAAAGGAGGCGAAAGAGGTATGTCAGGATCGTGCCAAATGGAAGTCCGTAGTCTCTGCCTACCCCTCTGGGTGACAGGCGTGAGTGTTTCTCTATTAACCTATACTAAAATTCCATCTAATAATTTATACGAACTGTAAATTTGATCTAAATGCTGTCTAGTAGGTTCTTTCACTAACTTTGTTACAATTTGTTGACTGAAAGGGTCCCTAATTTGAGCTTGTTTTAATTTCTCAGAATTGCTACTAACAACTATTAAACAAACTTCATTTAAAGAGTAGTGTGATGAGTGGTCTGAAATTAAATTCTGTTTACCAGCTCTGCGCACAGGTGTGAAGTCAAACGGTGCTGAATCTATTACAAAGCGGGGAAATTTTCTGTTTAATTTAGCTCTGTCAATAATATATGCTGAGGAATAGCTATCTGTTATCAATGTAAACTTTCCTAATAAATTAATTCTGAATTTACTTACAATTGCCCAATGAACTGCAGTAACTTCTAATTCATTAATGTGGTAACTTGTCTCTGCATCTTTTAAGCACCGACTTGCATATTCTATACCTTTTTCTGTCCGTCCTGAATTTGTAATAAACATGCACCCATTCCTTGATGGCTACTTTTTGTTTCCACAATAGTTGCCGCTGACCGTATTTACGCAGGGCGAGCGAGGGACGTGTGGTCTGTCGAATTGCGTCATAAGTCAGATAACATGCGGTTCGCCGGCCGTTGTATTATTTTGTTCTTTTCGCTTCTAATGTGTTAAAAGTTTGTAATCAAGTGTTATCAAATGATGTTAACACTTTGCATGCAGCGCAATGGATGTGGAAAGGCGTAAATTGTTAGTGAATTTGGGCAAAGAGAGGCGACAATGTGCTATTAAGAACCGAAAAGAACTATTAAAACTTACAAAACAACCACTAGTCATGGAACGTATTTTTTATTATAACGGCATTATGTGATTTTTTTAAGATAAGTCATTTTTGTTGTTGTAATTATGAATAGGTTATCATTGGTTATTTTTTAATACGAAACGATGCATAAACGAGCATCTGCCACATGAATTTTTCTACTTCGAGATTATGTGTAAATGTTTAATTTTACATAAGTATGTATAAAGTATTTTTTGTTTTAGTGGGTATGTTTTACCTATTTATTTATTTTTGTTAGCTATTTAAATTGACTTATAACTAAATATTTTTTTAAATTATGTTTCATGTTCGGAAAATCCAAAATCACCCATTAAAGAATGCGGAAGCCTGCAAAACATAAAGAGTGGATTCTTTGAGAATTCTGTGTTGACCGATTAAGATCTTATAGAGGAACTTAATGTGTTAGCGATGAAGACAAGTATCAGTTTACTTCGCAAGATAAATCCCCATTTTTTGCGTCACACTCTAGGTCGGTCACACCTGTCAGTCAGAAATGTTGGTCGGTTGGTCTGAATTACATATTTTAAATTCTGAATATTTTAGATACTGCAAGAAAATTATCTGTCACACCAACACCCTCAGAATATAATTCATTCACTTCAAGTCGTGGCGGAATGAAATTAGAACTCACTCTGCAAATAAGACGCAATAATTAAACAATCACTGTGGTCTATACATGGTATTGTCTATCTCTAAACTCGAATATTTATAATGGTGCTATAACTGTTAACTAAAACTAACTTTTCAAAATAATCTATACGCATTAAAGTTGTTAACTTTCCAAAATACATATACATTCATGTTTATTTTTTGTTTTCAACAGCTTGTCTCATAAATGAAAATGAACAATGTGGTAAAGTTTTATATTTTTTCTAGTTATAGCGGCCAACTTTTTGTGTCACGGTTGTTATTTGAGAGCTAACAGAGAAATCATCCAAAGAAATATTGTTGATTATAACAGATTTGAAAACATAGAAGGAAACTAAGCTGTGCAAGAAATTCAGGTCCCAAATCTCCCACCTCTCCCCCATAGACCAGCAGTAAGTAACATTCAAGATGTATCAACAATTGTCCTGCCGAATTATAGACGTTGTGCTAACACTTATACGAGTAGAAGATGCATATTAGATGGCTGTCAGCATAGTGCAGATTAATTAGTGCCTACCTTGATTAAATCAGCACTGTTCTTGGAAAGTAAACTTTATATGCGTTGAAGTGCCAAGGTATGTCAAGAACAATTACATTCCAATGAATGGGAATTATTGCTAGAGAACACAAGTTTAACATACCGTATTCGTTTATCGCGCAAAGTGGACGTAAATTTACAATGTCTAATACATATAACGCATGCAAAAAGCATACAAAACAATCGGAGAGGATTATGTGCACTCACTCTAGTTGCGCCCGCCCCATTACCAATGTGTGGGTCTGAACTCAGATTTTAAAAAAATAGTGTGCTGGACTTGCCCAACGTGTGTCAACAAGATGCCAAGGACAGGAGATAATTCAAATACCCCTGTAAAACCCCACAGCGAGGAGTCTTCTCCTGTTGATAACAACAACTATTGTTTAAATATAACTACGAGGAAAACAGACTCATCTAAAGGAGGACTAATGCAGGACCGTTCCCTAGAAGCTCGAACAGATATTTTAAATTCTTTTAAGGAAGAGCTTCCACTTCTTTTGAAAGCAGCCGTAAAAAGTGAATTAAATACCTTAAAAAACCAGATATCCACAATAGAAACCACGTTGAACTTTATAAGCACGCAATACGAAGAAAATCTTCGTATTGCGTGCTTATAAAGTTCTGTGCTTATAAAGTCTTAAAGAGTATAACAACTACCATTGCCGAAATGAAGTGTTTAAAGGACGAGAATGCCCGTCTTCGTAAAGATATTGACAGCAATTCGTTACGTATACATCACCTAGAAGAGGAAATATCTCGCATGCAGCAGTGGAACCGGCTACAAAATGTTGAAATCGTCGGCGTTCCAGAATACAATGAAGAAGATACAGTTGATATCGTTGTAAAGGTTGCCAACGAAGTGGGTGTAACCGTTGAAAGAAGTGAGGTGAAGTTTGCGCATCGAGTGCAGCCGCGGCGACCAAATAGTGCAGCCGTTAGCCGTACCATCATCGCCCGTCTCCGTCATCGACATACTAAGGACTTGATTATTGCAGCCACACGTAAGCGCCGTGGTATAAAACTCTCGGATATGGGTATGATCAAAGTGAGTGACAAAACCAAAAACGTAAGCAACACTCACATTTATATTAACGAGCATTTAACTAAACATAACCGTACATTGCTTAAGGAATGTAAGCTGAAGGCTAAAGAAACTAACTTTAAGTTTGTATGGACAAAAAACTGTTGTATATACACCCGTCGGAACGAAACCTCACCACCCATTCCCATCATAACTGCAACCGACTTAACAAAGATGGGCTAAATGTTATAAACGTTTTAATTTTTTTACTGTATTATGGCAATATCACGTATCAATATTTGATATTTTATTTATGGTGTACGTAAACCCCTTATTAATTAATTTAGTGATCATACTTAATTTACATATTACAATACCAATCATCTGTGTCAAATTATATTGCTGTCACAAGCAACAGAATCTTATGAGATTAATACCTAGGTTTTTTCTTTTTAAAATTATTATCGTTAAACCTTTACTACGACCGATAAACACAATAATAGCTTAAAACTTTTTATCAGAATGTTTGTGGTTTACGTACCAAAACTAATGTATTTTTTAACAATCTTTACACATCGGATATTGACCTCGCATTTATTACTGAGTCGTGGTTATGCGACGGCATTCTCGACACTGAGCTGTGCAGCTCAGACAGGTATGATCTGTTCCGTCGTGACCGTGGGACGTTAGGCGAAGGAGTGATGGTCGCTTGCGCATCTCGGATTGGGGCGCGCAGGCGTACTGACCTTGACCGTGAAGATCTCAAATGCACTTGTATAACTATACCAGCGCATGCAATCAGTTGTCAGTACGATTTAAATATTATTTGCGCCTATATTCCTCCAAACCGCGCACTTTCATCGCGAATTATTAAATTGATTGAATTACTGACGTTCTTATTCAATTCTCAACCTAATGATTACTTTATTATAGCCGGCGATTTTAACCTATCCTGTATTGACTGGAATATTGAATACCCAACAGTATTAAAAAAGGGATGTGTGCAAAATCAGAATGCAGCAACTGAATTATTAAACTTAATATCTTACTATGGTTTATCTCAATATAATTACTTCCAAAATGCATACGGAAATGTACTAGATTTAGTGTTTTCCAACGTGCCTATAATAATTGACAAAAGTCTATGTCCATTAGTCAAGGAGGATGTGTGTCATCCAGCGATAGAGATGTGTGTTACAGATATATCGATACCTCCAATAAAACCATGTAATAACAAAAAAAATTTTTACGTATAGCGGATTACCACAAGTTAAACTTATATTTATCTGATTGAGATTGGTCATTTTTACATTCGCAGAACTTAGAAAATGCCATTGACAATTTTTATTCAAAAATACTGTATAATATACTGTGTATACTGCTATTATTAAATATGTACCCCAAAAAGTTATTTCTCATTCATATATCTACCCTGTGTGGTATAGTAATACCCTTATAAAATTAATAATAGAAAAAGCTAAGTATCACCATCTCTGGAAAAAATTCAATAATCCAGAAGATTATGCCTCTTTCTCCACAATACGATCTAGGGTAAAGAAACTCGAAAAATAATGCTATTTCTCTCTTATCAAATTACATCAAGATAAAATCAAATCATCGTCTAAGTTATTTTGGAGTTACATAAAATCAAAAAGAAAGAACCGATCTGATTATCCTCATGTAATGCAGTTAAATGGCTGTAATGTCCTTAATGAATTTGAGATCTGTAATGCTTTTAATGAATTTTTTGCAGAAATGTTAGCAAACCACCACAACAATATAGTGATATATCTGAAGAGAGAGTGACAGGCTGTAATATAATAAGTGGTATGTATACACATCTCAATTGCCGACACAATGAAATTGCTAAAAACCCTTAATTGTTACAAAAGTGCTGGTTGTGATGAAATCCCTCCCCTTTTCTTTGTCGAATGTGCGAAGTCGTTGTCAGCTCCTATAACAGTAATATTTAATAGATGTTTTCAAGAAGGATACGTTCCAAAAATTTGGAAAACTGCCAATATTGTACCAATCCATAAAAAGGGATCAAAAACAGTCATTGAGAATTACAGGCCAATATCAATACTGAACGTGTTAAGTAAAGTAATGGAAAAAATAGTCCACAGACAAATATACCCGTTAGCTATTCGAAATAATCCTTCCCAGCAACATGGCTTTGTGCGTGGCCGCTCAACCTGCACCAATATTTCCATCTTTAGCAACGATGTTCTTAGAGGGATGGATAATGGCCTCCAAATAGATGCTATATATACGGACTTTGAAAAGGGTTTTGACCGCGTTGATCTTATCATCCTTCTAAAAAAGCTCCAGGAGCTAGGAATACGGGGAAACCTTCTCAGATGGATGGAATCGTACCAGCGTAATCGCTCACAGGCAGTTGTTGTGGCTGGATATCACTCAAATATTGTGAACGTTGCATCTGGTGTCCCACAAGGCTCAATATTGGGGCCTTTGCTATATGCAGTGTATTTATATGATGTGGGCATCTGTTTTCATTCTTCTAAGTTTCTGATGTTCGCTGATGACATGAAAATTTACGCTTACATAAAATCTGAAGCAGATGCTTTTAAGCTACAGAACGACTTATACCGTTTCTGCAGCTACTGCCGTGATAACCGTATTAGCGTGAATGTATCGAAATATTTCCAAATTAGTTTTACTCGCAAAAAGAGAAAATTGATATCTCAATACTACTTGAACAACTTTCCTTTAGAAAAAACTGACAAAACTAAAGACCTCGGAGTAGTCTTTGATTCGAAAATGACGATGAATGATCACATCTCGGCAATAGTTGCAAAGGCGTATAAAAATCTAGGTTTTGTATTACGAGTTTGTCAACCTTTTTCGGACATAGAATGTATAAAGATTTTATACTATTCTTATGTACGCAGCGTCCTGGAATATTGTAGTGTTGTGTGGAACCCAAATTACATCATGTGCACACAAGAAATTGAACGAATACAGAGAAAATTTATTAACGTCTTGAATTTACGATGTCAAAATAAAACAAAAAGTTATACAGAATCATGTAATTTGCATAAATTAATGCAGTTGAAAGATCGCCGCACCCTACTCCAGATGCTATTTCTTCATGATATCTGCAGTAACAAAATTGATAGCCCTGAATTAATTTCCAGTACTTTACAACTACGAGCACCTACTAAGCGCACTAGACATACTCCGTTATTTAATGTTCCTTTAAGTAACTCAAATTATGCACAGAATTCTGTAATATGTCGCATACTTAATACCTATAATAAAGAATTTTCTTCAACTGACATCTTCCACCAAAGCAAATCAGTCTTTAAAAAAGATATTATTTCAATATTCAGTAATAAATTATAACAAACACACAAACACAAACACAAACACACACACACACACACACACACACACACACACACACACAAACACACACGCACGCGCACGCGCACTCCCACACGCACACGCACACGTACACACACACGCACGCGCACTCCCACACGCACACGCAAACGCACACGCACAAGCACGCGCACGCGCACGCGCACACAAACGCAAATGTGTACATTATGTGATGTAATTTTTACAAAGAATTAGTCTAGCTATTCAACGGGGAAACGCTGCCAGTATCTTCGGAACCTTGCCTAAAGGACCTCTTTTTTAATAATTTAATTTAGTTATTATAATATATATTTTTAAGGTTTTTAGTATTAGTATTAATTGTAAATATTATAATTTAATTTCATTAATTATACTTATATTTTCATTTATGTTATTTATTATTGTATAGTCGGACAGTTGTTATGTAATATTTTTACTTTTTTTATTTTTTTTGTATCTGCTTATTGTCTCTTTTTTTGTGAAACTTATTTTTTAAATTCTTCAATATAATAATATTCTTTAATATATCCAAGTACTTTGTAATTAATATTATTAATTTGTAATTTTTTTGATTGTAATATTATTAATTGTAAACTATAACAAGCGATAGTATGTACATTTAAATAACCCCTCGTCTGCCGGCCGGCCATTTTGCAAATATGTCGCGTCTGCTAGGGCCTTAGCAGGTAATTTCGCGATATCGGCGCGTGGCGATTAAATTAGTAATTTCTCCAAAATATTGTATGGAAGTTATGTATAAAACTTATGTCATATGAATTGTTATATTATTCGCTATTACTCTGTAGATATCTTAGTTGAATATAACTTTATAGATTTTATTAAGCCAATTTCGAAGTTGGAAAACCAAATTTTTAATAGTATATTGTGCATAATGAAATTTATTTTCATCAATATACACTAATTTATCATAAAAAAGCAAAAAAACCACATAAATTTACCCCAAAAGTTTTTTTACAAACTTAACACATGAACGGCAACCCAAGCGTCGCACAAAAAATAGCATATATTGTTAGTTTTATTTTGAGAAATGAGCAAGTCAAGTGGCGTGCGATAATTTTAACATTAAGTATGGTTCAAGTTCTTAATTTAGACAAAGTTTCATTTCTAAAAAGAATGTAATGTATTTTTAATCAACAATGGAGATAAATGATTAAAACTACTTTTACGGATTTTATCGCGTTTATTTTTACT